CCCAATTGAATGTTTCTGGAAAAAAAAGGTTGCAGAATCACAACAAACTATTAGAGTTGTATTCCAGTTTCCTCTAAAACATCTCATACTAATGCTTAACCATGTATTTTGTTTGTTCAGCTCTTGCTGAGCTGTTTTCATTTCTGCAGCTTGTTATTTGTCATGCAGAAAAGCTGATATGTAGTAGCGAGGATGACTGGAACATAACTTTTTTTTATCTTCTTACCCGGTTACTAAGCTAGCTACTGTTTTGATGATGCACACATAGTGGAGAAGCATAAGACGAATGCCACCAGCACGCAGGGCTTGAAGGCAGCAAGTGGTTTCAGTTCAGATATCTGCCACCACAATCATCACTACACAAATTTGTCTCTGAGGATTTGAAAGATCAAAGACGCACATCCTGTGTGTAAGCAGTTTTTTATATGGGGTCTGTGCCATAAAGAGAAGTATAGGTTTCTTACTACTGAGAAAAGATTCTGCTTTGATGCTGACACTCAGGACAAGAACAAAAGTCCTAATATGATTCAAATGAATGTAGGCTAATCTAATGTGAGATATGTCCAGTAGAGGGAAGCAAAACCCTTATCACCAAACTGAAGTCACTAGTAATGCTTCTTTAGTGTGTGTGTGTTTGTGTTGCTACAACTTCAAGTGCTCCTGGAACTAATCAATTAATGTTGGAGCCCGAGTAACAACAGGGTGCAGAGGACTGAGGAATACTGCTGGCAGCTTATTTCCCATGATGCTTTCTGTTTGGCAGCTTTAACTCTACACAGTGTACACAGGGCTCTGAGGCTGTCAGTCACAATTAAACTATGTAGGTGGGCTGTCAGATACTGCTTGTTCTTTTCAGAAAGTCAAGGTTCTTTTGTGCAGGGCAGGAGTTGAAGGACCAGAGGAGGGGACCCTGTCATGTGACAACCAGGTACTGAATCTACATATTGTTGGTTTTCTACAAAGAGACACGTCTTCCTTGACCAATGAATCTACACCAAGAGAAATTTGTAATTGAAACATTTGAGTGGATGAGAGGAAGTCCTTTTTTGCTTCATCAACATGTTTTTTAACCATGAATGAAACACTGTCCATATGTTAGCCAATCATTAACATACTGTACAGAGTGTCCCTTTCCTTTCACTTGAAGTTCTAGTCTGCCTTTAGACTGTGTAAATATACCAATGTTTGAATGCACTGATGAAAGGACTGTCAGTAATCATGTTTGCAGATGATAGATGACTGTTTATTTGTATTACATACTGTGTTATTCCTGTTTAGTAAATGCCCTTTAGAACAGATGTTTTGGTCCCTTATGGCTGAAAAAGTGTAACGATTAAAAATGTTGTTTCTGTTCAATTCAAATGTCCGTAGGTGAGCCATGATGACACTGAGTCAGCACAAGGATACCAGCTGTTATGGTATAGCATCCAGTCATTTCATCATCAGAAAGTTGGTAACACAGTTCTCAGTTTCAGTGTAGCGTTGAAACCACAAACACAGCCAGATGTCCAAGAGTAATAATAGACAAAACCTGTGCAGTAATTTAAGCTTTCACATAAAGGTACTTACAAATAAAGCATTTCAGTTTAAGAATATAAATAAAAATCGTATACAGAAAGGTTCTTACCGTGAGAGTTGAGATCTTCAGACTGAGTTCATGTTTGTTGTCTGATCTCACAATAAGTTAAGGTCTGCTCCAAAATTGAATCCATTAAATCAACACAAGATTTTTCTGATACAGCCATTTATTGTCAAACTGGGATCCTTTATTCAAATCTTGTTTTGGCATTTCATTTTGTTCTATTGTTCATTTGTTTTTTAAAGTCTTCACCATTTAAGATGCTAAGACTATATACTGTTTAAAAATACTGTCTAAGATGTATTTCCTCCAAAATACAGGTCTGATTTTGAGAACTTTTAAATGCATTAGAAGTTCCTGTACCAATAAACTTGCCTAGCCAAGAAGGCCATCTTTGGAAATGAGCTGATTAAATCTTTGACTTTTTCCTTAATGTACCCTGAAGCAGGAACAGCAGCCTGTTCTATTTAAGATAGAAATAGCTGGCTGTGTCTGCACAGGCTGGGGTCAGTCTGGTCAGCCTGTCTGTCTTGTCTCTCTAGAGAACAAGGGCTCACCCATGACTGCTCATGCTGCACCTATCAGTGCTGTGGGATAAACAGCCGCAGTTCAAGCCTCGGACGTAGTTGCAGGAAGTCTAAGGTTTCCCTCTGTGGCCTCAGCCTGCGGCATTGATCCGGGTTCTGCTGAGCTGGTCTCTAACAAGTCAGAGCTAAACGCTGGCCCACAGGGGCTAAGGTCACATATAGACATAGACACATACACACGAAGGACATCCCACTGCAGCCATGTTAATATCAGTCCATAAAGCCTATAAAGCTCCAGACTGTGTTGTACTGCCTCGCTGCCTTTGTCAGGCCCTGTAGTCAGGGCCGAGGTATGTATAGCACGACGGGGCTGCCCCAACTCTCCTGGAGCCAATGAATGAGAGGATGGACGGAGGCAAAGGGAGGAGAGCAAAGGAAATACACTCATCATTGCTTTAAAGGAGAGCAGGACAGAGGGGTCGAGAGAGACAGAGAGGAGATGGAGGGAGGGAGAGAGAGAGGAGATGGAGGGAGGGAGAGAGGGAGAAGGAGGGAAGCAGTAATGGGGTCTTTGTTCTGGTTGGTGTGACTCACAAAGGCTTGTCCAAGCCAGCACAACTTAGTTACCGTTACCAAACATAGAGAATACGAAGGGAGGAGTGTGTGTGTGTGTGTGTGTGTGTGTGTGTGTGTGTGTGTGTGTGTGTGTGTTCAAGGACTGTAGGATTTTTCTGCAACCAAATCAATCCTAACATGGTTTCAGTTTGTGCTATCATAGATTTTCAGACGCAGCTTTTCCTTCACTTTAAATCATTTTGTTTCTTTGTCCAGGTTGTTGTTTTTTCACTGTCAGTACATCACAACCAACACAGTCAAGTTGATCAATCAACTTGACTGTGTTGGTTACATAATAATAAAAAAAAAGTAATGGAACATTACTCTTATGAAGCATCCACAGTTGATTCGCTAGTAGTTTTAATATATCATTATTTGCAGAAAGAGCCAATAAACTCCTAAAATTGGTAAAGCATTTCCTTGTTGTTATGATGTCTATTTCATTGTGAATTTCAAGAGTGAAGAAAATATAGCTCTTATTTTATAGAGATAAAGATCCATCATGATCCAAAAATGATCAAAAAGTCAGTTTGTCCTACATCAAATAGTTTGGCCAAGTGTAAAAAATAACATTTTCATAAATCTGGGATCTGTTTTTTTGTTTAATAGTAATTAGCTTGGTATGCTAGCATGCTCACAGACTAATCCAAAACAGGAAACAGGATATGATCATGTATATAAGCATACTATCATTTGGATGTAAGCATTTAACTAAATCCAGCCATGTGTTGAAGTAGTCTGTCATAAAGCTGTTAACATATCTGAGAGACAAACTGTTGCTCACACATGACTGTGTTTGAAGCCGGAGACATCTTTAACTAAACAAATCTCAAGAATCTTTAAACCAAGTTTGACAAACACTAAAAGTTGTAAACTTTGTGAACACAAGACGATGGTTTGGATTAGCAAAGCAACAATGAAATCTTTAATCATCAGGACGCGACCTGATGTTAAACTGAACTTGAACTGTGACCATTGTTGTGCAGTGGTGAAGTATAAGGCTACTACTCAACATGATGTAACTGGATCTTTATAGGAGATTAAATAAAAATATTGTGCCATTTTATGATAGGCTATATAATGTGACCCACCAAGAGCGTGATTGTTCTTCTTTTTATTCATGCTGCCAAAATGAAGCCTTCTCTAAATAATGTGAAACTCTGTAGAAGATAAGAAAACCCTTCACTCGCCAACTTTTGAAGCAATTTAAGCAAAGTGAATACTAGAACAATGTTATGAAACATCATCAAGGAAACTATTTGTACTCATACTTATACATTTGCACTTTAACACCGAAATCAAGGGGCTAAAGACATGTACTACTGTGTGTGTGTGTGTGTGTGTGTGTGTGTGTGTGTGTGTGTTTTCAGCTTACACAGTAAGCAGGATGTCCTGTCCTCCCTGCTGCTATTGTAGAGTGGTTAGCCTGCCAGACGCTCCCCCCAAAGACCACTTCCCTTCCATCAAGGGCCTCTCTCTCTCTCTCTCTCTCTCTCTCTGTCGCTCATACACCCACATAGCCCCATGCCAGCCCAAACACAATGGGAACCTATCCAACAACTCCCTGTCACCTGTCTAAAAATAACTCTTTTGGGAGCCTCAGACATGAAGATTATATTGTAACAATGGTGTGGCAGTACTTTCATCAGCCGAAATAGCCCGGCTGTTATTTTGAGGTACGAAACATCACCATTACCAGTATTGTTGGATAACAGTGAGACCCAAAAAATCTCCCCCCTTGGAATACACTTCAATTGTAATGTCCTTTTCTATCATCATATAGGTTAAAGATTATATATAGTTTTTACATATGGCCATATTGTTGTTTGAAGGACAGTCTTTTTGAAAGCAGGGTTGTATTTTGATGTAGACAAATCCTTTATTTCAATTAAAATCATTTTAATTTGACAAATGAAATTCCTCATTCAAATTTATGAAGCCCCCAAGGGTCAGCTTTTACACTACAAAAGGCATGTTATACAAATTTAAAGTAACAAAATGTGTCTTTTAAACAAACAAAAAAAGAAAACAGCTACCAGTTATTTTATTTTGTTTCCATTTACTTGTTTGTAGGCTGTATGTTTATGTCAAGTTGTGAGTCTTAATATGAATGTTCATGAACACTGTAGCTGGTCGTTTACTGTATAATATAGAGGTAAATGTATGTTGTTTGATAACATGGTACATATGAGAGACACTCAAGCACCCCCCTCCCCTTCTCTCTCTGTCCTTCCCTCTTTCCCCACAATACCCTATTTACACCCCCCCTCATGCCCCTCCATCGAGTCCAGCCGCGGTGCTATTGTCTCGTTTCCTGTGACCGTGCGAGCAACTCTCCACTAACAAGCCTGCAGTGGCTGTGATGAGGTCCCACTTCCAGCAGGCGAAGCGAGTCGTCAGGACTAATTGAAGAACTCAGAGCCGCAGGAGCCGTAGAAGAAGTGTCTTCTTCGTAGAACTGGCAAAGTCACAGCGAGGGAGAGAGGAGCTTTCTGGGGGGAAAAGTATGGAGTTTTTCTTTTGACAGCTGCGCCGGTGCCAGACTGACAAACATCAGGGATCGGGGAGGTGAGCTGTCACCATCCATTCAACTGCCAGTAAGTTTACTGTGCTTTGTCCTCAGTCAGTAACATCATTGTGTAGTGTCGACAAAAACACGTTTTTTTTTCTTAAGTTTGACAAAACTTTCCAGAAGCACAAATTTTTACATTAAAGAATAAATGATGTGTGTAGTTACTGACTAAATAAATGATGTGTCCTGAGCATAAAGGTGTCAGTTAGGTTAAATAACAGTGTGCTAACCACCTCCCAACATCCCACAAACACTACACTTATTGAGGAAGTGATGCTGTAGGCTACTTTTCACATGTACCTTCACTATGTGTGTTTGGAGAAACAAAAAAACAACAACAGCAGCTGCCATAACTAATCCACTACAATATACATCTGACAGTATGGCCTCAAGTATTGGGTGCTCATTAGATCAAAATTCTACAAGCACTTTTTATTTCTTTACAATGTCAACAAAATTGGAGACCTTTAGTTAAAGAAAACAAAGAATTTACAATCAAAACATTTTAATTGATTTAATAGTTTGGTCTAAAATAATTCCAAATAGTGAGCAGTTCATCTTGTTTTTAAATTTTCAAACAGAATAGTTATAACAACTGACTGAAATGTAAATATATTACTATTACAACCATGAAAGAAGTAAATATTACAAATGTTAAATGCTGAAACAAGTGAATTATAATGATTGCACAATGATGCGACAACTAATTGTGATGAAGCACAGCTCTAATAAAGAAAGACTGAACTTTGTAAGACCTATAAGAATTATTTTGTGGGCTTAAATGTATTGTTTTCTTAATATTGAATCCTAACGTAACCTGAGCCGTTCAGTGAAGATGTACCTTCTTCCTCCTATGAGAGAAAGTAACAGCTGGATGTGAGTTGAGCACGAACTTGATCCTTTCAGATCAGCAGGTCCCGGAGGCTTGTTTCTGTCACAGTCACGGACAACTGCGGGGGGAAGCCCTTTAACTGTGCAGCTGTCTATGACCTGTACATGAGAACCATACACACACAAATACACACGTCTGAAATCCTTCTAGGAAAGGACTTCTAGAAAACTGCAGCACGCGTCAATGTGTCTCTGCTACAGGTCCAGAGTAGAGACAGATCTGGTTTCTTTCAAATATAAACTCTATGGCGGCCATATGCAATTTTCTATAGACTGCAGAAACAACATCAGCTGAATATGAAGCCGGCACTGTCAGAGGTCCTGGGACTGAGCCACAAAACACAGAACCCTAGTGCGTGTGCGTGTGCGTGTGCGTGTGTGTGTGCGTGTGTGTGTGCGTGTGTGTGTGTGTGTGTGTGTGTGTGTGTGTGTGTGTTTACATGTGTGTGAGTGTGTGCGTGTGTGTGGACTGGCACTTGTAAGTGTTTGCCTGCTTGTGTATGCACGTGTGGACGTTTTTGCATATATGTAAGTGTGTGTTTGGTGCAGGCGGGTACAGTGATGGCATTGTAAGGGCCGATGGAGGCTTTCTGGGAGGCGTGTGAAAACCCAGTTAAGATGTCACACTGCAGCTGGCACAGGACAGCGCTGATGGACTGCTTACACACACAGTCTTTCCTTTGTGTATGTGTGTGTGTGTGTGTGTGTGTGTGTGTGTGTGTGGTGAAAACACTGAGTGAATCTTGTCCAGAGACACTCAGAGTTTTTACACGCCATGTGCCAGCAGCAGACCACCTCGCTGCTGCTTTAGCTCTGTTGCATAACACCAGATAAGGTTGATTCAGCTGGTTAGATCCGGTGCTGAAGTGTGCAAGATTTGAACTCTAATGAAGTTGCTGGATTTTGGAATTAAGAAAGATTTGTCAAAAATGAATACAGAAGAGCCTGTTATGTTCTGGTTTAATCTTTGATAGAGGTTATGCTCCTGGATCCTTCATTATCACAGAGCAACTAGAAAGTGTCTTCCTGTGATGCCTCTCCCCATGGGAACACAACACTTTTAACATTACAGCTTAATTTTTTAATACATCATTAGATTGACTGACTGCATCTGCAATATCTTTTTGCAGGGAACAATTTCAGACAATGTACTGTGAGAAAGTGTTTGCACCAGCTGAGGTTTTCAGCTCCAGTTTGGGTTCAGACTTAGAAACTTTACTGTACTGTTATGCGTTTTGAAAATTGTAAATCCAAGTCACACATTTAAAATATATTTTTTAAACACTGTCTATGGTTTTGGTGTAATGGCTAATGGCGCACAGGTTCCATATGCTCCATCTTATGGAGAACTGAAGTTGTTTGTTTCTCCTTGGCTTGAAGCTTTTATAGTGAGGAAGTGACCATGTGCATTTCCTTTTCTCTTCACAGGATGACTGACCAGCCCTGCAGCCGTGCATCCTGACTGCCTCTGCCTCAGTGTGTGAGTCTAAATGTCCACAATGACTCGGAGGGGACTTGAATGGTGGATCCCCTGCTGACACCTCAGACCAGATTTCGTCCTCGACTGCCTCCTTTCCCCAACGGCTTTGGTGTGCTCATTTTCTCTGGAGCTCCCTCCTTGTTGAATCTGTCACCATGGCTAGCCTGGTGCTCAACGAGACCGGAATGGAGGATTGTGGAATTGACGACTCCTTCAAGTACAACTTGTACTCAGTCGTTTACAGTGTGGTCTTTGTCTTAGGACTGATCACCAACTGTGCCGCCCTCTTTGTGTTCTGCTTCCGGATGAAGATGAGCAATGAGACCACAATGTTTATGACTAATTTAGCTTTATCAGATTTAGTGTTTGTTTTTACGCTGCCATTCAAAGTCTTCTACAATGTGAACCGCCATTGGCCCTTTGGAGACGGACTGTGTAAGGTCTCGGGAACGGCCTTCATCACCAACATCTATGGCAGCATGCTCTTCCTCACCTGCATCAGCGTCGACCGCTTTCTGGCCATAGTTTACCCCTTCCGCTCCCGCTCCATTCGTAATCGCAGAAATGCAGCGCTGGTGTGCGCCGCTGTGTGGCTTACCATTGTGGGAGGAGGAATATCGGTGACCTTCTTCTCCACCATTAACAGCACAAACAGAGCCACCACATGCTTCGAGGGCTTCTCCAAGAGCACCTGGAAGACCTACCTGTCCAAAATTACCATCTTCATTGAGGTGAGTAGGTAGAGCTACATCCACACTATATGTAAATTTTTTAATTAATCTAACCTATTACAAAGCCCTGACGCCTTTGAGTTCCATAAAGTTTTATCATGCTTATTTATTTTCCAGATTGTGGGCTTCCTTATCCCTCTCCTGGCCAACTTGGTGTGTTCCTCGCTTGTTCTGCGGACTCTGCGTCGTCCTGTTACTGTCGGGCATGGCTGTGACAGTAAAAGACGCGTACTACGGATGATTCTGGTCCATCTGGCCATCTTCATCATCTGCTTTGTTCCATATAACTCCATCCTCTTCCTGTATGCGCTGGTGCGGACCCAGGCCCTGGCTAGCTGTGCTATAGAACGCTTTGCGCGAACTCTTTACCCGATCACTCTTTGCCTGGCCAGCCTCAACTGCTGCCTGGACCCAGTGGTCTACTACTTTACCTCGGAGAGTTTCCAGAAAAGCTTGACCATGGGAGGCAAAGGGCCTGGCTCTCGACCGGAGAGTATCCCCCGCAGTGACACTGAAACCCAGGACACAGTAAACACCCTCACCAGAGACACAGACACTCTGGCCAGTAATGGAAAAGACTCAAAGACAGCAGAGAGTCAGCTCTGACTCAGCAGGGAAGAAGGAAGGTGAAGAGGAACATGTTGGGTTTGACAGGAGCCCTGAATTGGAAAAAAAAATTAAGCAATCAGCTGTTTGGTCCTGGAAGTGACAAACACATAACTCAACAGATTAGTTAAGTCCTGAGGTTAAGTCCTGAGGTATGGCCTGGGCTTTACGGATTAATCCACCACTGGAGACCACAGGAATGTATCTGTGTGTGTGTGTGTGGTTTTTTTATATGAGAGAGAGAACACTTCATGGACCAGAGACTGAGCCATATATTGACCAGAGACATGCAGAGCCTCTAAAAGAGACTCGGACCCTTCATCACTCAGGCTTAACACTACAAATACTCACAGGAGCACTGGATTGTGGATAAGATGGAGATTTCTGTCTACGCCGGTGAAATATGTTATTTAGTACTTTTGTAACACATTGAGCCCATAGTTGTATTGTTATAAAGTTCATCTGTTCACAGTTTATTGTATCACTTAAAACATTCATGTTTGACACCCTTAAGTGTGAGGAGACTTATTGTTATTATAACAAGAGCGTTGAGCTGCTGGGTTTAATGTGTCTCATGCTGAAGTTTGAGGCCATTAAACGTCTGTTTTGAAATCCTTACATGGCTGCATTGACTATTTCTGCCCCTGGTCGAGTGTTTCTTATTCATTTAAATATGTTTTGAACTGGCACATTTTTATTTCACCTTTATATTCTAGGAGATTAAACTATTATTTTACAAGAGAAACCTGGCCAAGGTAGCGGCTATACACAATCACGACATATTAGAAAAACTACTCGTCAAAATGACTGTAGATTTGAACTCATGGAGGAGGTTTTCTACTCTTGGTTCTGCTATTTATTAGCGCGTTCTTGCTGGAGGAGCAGAGGGCCACTGATCCAGTAGAGGACATTGGCCTGTGTGCTGTGTCACAGGCCAAATGCTTATTATGACTGGAGCAATGGTCCATTGTTTGCTTGTGAATGAGCTCTCTCTGTCTTAATCTGGCCTTAGACTGCAGATCTGCTCAAAGTCTCTTACACTCAGCAATGTGCACACACTCCAAAGTACGAGTGAACACTGCTTACTGAATTCCCCCAAATCATATTGTTACACTGCACGAAATGCGAAACAGCAGTGTCAGTAGTCAGCAGATCCAGGTGTTTGCTTCGTTTGACACCTATATATTTTTCTACATTTTGGGAATATATTTATTGAGTAGGTCATGAGCATGCCATCAGGACGAAAACTCTGATCAAACAGGACCCCAGTGAGGATTAAGGCACATCACAACAACATGTAAATCTGCAAAATCTGTGCAAAAACAAATCGGGATGGCCAGTAAGAAAAACTCTGTTTTCCCATCTTGTTTGTACTTGATGAACTTCAACATGCACATGTGCGCTGTTCTCTACAGCAGAGAGCTAAAGGGTCCAAAACGAGGGAAGCTTTTGTAACCTCTAAGCCTTTTTGTACAATCCATAATTATTTAATTTAACCTTCACTCTGTCGGAGTGTAACCTGAATTGCAAAAGACCAATTGTTTGCAGACAGTTATTAAACAGAAGTGCATGGCAACAAATGTATTAACTTTAAGTCAAAATGCATGGAGAACCCTTAAAAGTAAATCAAAGAAAACATGGAAAGAAGCACAGATAACCATTTTGACCATTTAATGTTGGCAACTCTGTGACTATTTCCAGCCTTTGACCGTGGTAGTGCACTGTCCATAAGTGTGTGGTCTATTACTGCTTGTATATTATAGGCTGCTGCTGGAGAGGGGAACTATCAAAACTATCGTTTTGGGTCTGGAACAAATATGTTCGTACAAGCTGTTTATCTGTTCTTTCATAATGTCATGCAAAGTAAGAGATGCATGGCTGTAAAACAAACCTCATTTCCTGCTGCATGGTTACTTGTATGTACGATGAGGGAGAAATTTAATCGTACATAGCCATTCTGGAAGAGTGATTAATGTAATTCGGTGCACCCAGCAGCCGAGAGACAACAGTAGATGGATTCAGGGATTTGGGGTCAAGGGTCTCAGAGAGGAGGTTTAATAAGACAATACTGTAGAGCAGGAAATAAGAGGAGTGGGAGTGTAGAAAACATGCAAGAGACGGCTGTCGTCTGTTGAGTGGATCATGTCAAGAATGTGTCGACATATTGCAACAGAAGGCACTTGACCCTTAAAACGTGGTCTTTAAAAAAGCAATCTGCCTTCTTAGCAGGAAGACAGACTGCATACTGCAGATCAGTAAACCGTGAATATTGGCCTACACTGACCTCTGGTGGTCAGAAGTTTGCACAAATAGTTTAGCCAAAACACAAGAAGAGGCTCCAGTGACTATTATCTATAACGTGCTATATACTTAGTGTTGGGGCTCTACATTGACCTTTGTTTGAGGTGAAACCACGCTGTAGCAGCACAGGAGGTTACACCAGCCCTGCCTACCATGCCTTGCTTAGCCAGAATTCTATTCATACCCTTTCAGTTTCATGAGTGTGACTTGATGTTCTCACAGGGGTGTGAAACTAACAGGATGGAGAAAAGATCATATTGAATCATATTGCTGCACTGGGACCTTCCAGTTTAGAGGCATATTACATATTTATTTGAAAGACTTATCTACTGAAAAGATTAACAATAACTTAAAGAGGACATATTATGAAAAATCCACTTCTTCAGTGTTTGTTAACATATATTTAGGTAACCTGAGTGTCTACTGACCCACAAAATATTAAATAAACCCATCCAGTCCATTGTTTGTGGTCTGCATAAGTCTTAAAAGACAGAGAAAAATTATTCGTTTCAAATGTGCTCTCCTTGTGATGTCACAATGGGATTCTGGTAAAAATCCCCTCCCCTGGTATCTCCACCCATAAACTCCATCCCCAGCCTAGAGCAAAACTTTTGCGCAGGTCTGCCATTTTTATTCTCGCTAGTGAAGGGGTGATGTCTACCTGGAAAACTCAGGGGGGGGTTCATTAAATTTAAAGAGACACACAGACACACCAAAACGGAGCGTTCTGAGAGAGCTGGTTTATACAGGGTCACTAACCTCCTCTGGTGCTTGATTCATGTTATATTTTGACCAAAGCTCAGCACAGATGTTTCATTTAGACCACAGGGGACTGTTTGAAAAGGTGGAAAAAGTGGTATAATATGTCCTCTTTAAAACAGGAAGTGTAGCATCAGACAGTGGAAGCAGGTGAACACTTGTATTTTTGTCACAACTCCAAACACAGCAAGAGCAAATTAGGACAACATTTATATACTTTACAGTATGGAAGTGCTGGTGTATACAATCTGCCTGTAAACGCTGAATAAGTCACCTTTAGACATCTGCAAGTTAGACTAGAGGATCTCCCATATTTCTGTGTCTGTCTTTCTTCTATTAAATTCATGTATTTACTTCTAGGTGCTGTGCATTTGTTTTCTTAACAACAGAGTCACCATCTAGATGTGCCCAATACTGTGGTGGTGGTGGTGGTTTTGCTAGAGACTTAATGACGTAGCAAATTGTAGACAAACACTCGCATGCAATGAGGGCAGAGCTTCCCCTTCCCCTTATCACTGTATATAAAAACAGAGAGCTCAGACCTCATGCAATACCAAAACCAAAACCCTATTGTTAGCAAGTCACTTTAATGCTCACTTTTTGCAAATGCACAGAGCGACGACATTTTCTCTCTGCTGCTAAAGTGAGATGGGAAGGTTTGCCGTTGACCCTGTTTGCTGCTGAAGAGCTCGACGAGGAGGAGAGAGTGTGCCTGTGCGTCAGTCTGCTGTTTACAGAGGAGTGTGAAGCTGCTGGAGCATGTGGTTGCTGGTGGTCATTGACCTCATCACATCCATGCTGATCATATAGGAAGAAGACAAAGAAACTTAAGGTAAATACATTGTTGTTGTTTAGAGAGAACTGTCTGGCAGGCAGTCACACGTCTGTGATTCGTCTGAACATTTGTCGTCAGAGTCATGTTTCTTATTTTGCTGATGATAGCAAGTTTGATATTAAAGCCTTTGTCGCTTGACAAAATACATCATTGTGCTCAGTTTAACAGCCACTGCTTCAGTCAAATTTGGGAAAAATGTGGAAAGTTATTTTCATTTTTAATGCCAGCTAAATCTTCAACATTATCTGCTATAACTTTTGAAACCTTAGGGCTGTGATCTTAGGGCTGAAACTTTAAGACGCAGACAGAAACTGTTCAAAGGACTTGTCAAATTATATTTTAACTCAACAATGACAAACATATTCAATCGGCCAAATTAATATCTCTTTCACAAGTTGTAGTAAGTACTTCCCTAAACTTCAGTCTTACAGTTTAACTGTACAGGTAATAGAAGAGCATCCATTGGATGACTAAAGCAGACTGTGAATCCATCTGCCAATAGGAATATGAGTCAAAGCTGGTGATAAATAAACTGTCGCTGGTTTTCTGTTCTCCCTTTGGGGCCACCAGAGGAAGGGTGTGGTCTCGTCTTGATGGCAGGAGGAAGGGCAATGTGTCAGTGATAAGCTGAGAAAACGTGCAGCATTTCCTGCTGCAATCTTTTGCCACACAGAAGCATTTCTGATTACACTTTATATCTGTGTTTTCATAAATCTGATGACGTTGCATTGCATGGACAAACATATTGTTATACCTATAGAGAAAGAAGCTATACCTTAGATGATGAATGTAAGAAGCTATGACGTAGATGATGCATGCGAGAAGAGAGGACGCAATGTTGTGGTACAGGTTGCACGACATTTCCTGTGACAGGTTTCATGTTCATATTTTTTTCAGTGTATTTAAAAACAAGAAGCAACCTTTCAGATTCGCTTTTTTAATATGAAAATGTAACAGCTTAAGATACAAATCATTTTTTTAAAACACTTTCTATTTGATAGTTTTGAAGAAAAACAGCATAAACTGTCAGAATGAGCATATATACATTTGTATATGGTTTGTATAGAAGATCTACCCATAACTGCATCATCTATACAGGCATGGATAAATATTTCTGTTAGCTCATTCTACGACAGAGAGGAAGAGTGAGCAAAAAGGAAGGGAAAAAAAAAAATTTGTGCATGTACTCGAGCATTAAACTTAGGCCACAAGCAGATGGTGAAGAACACATAGACAAAAATAAATAAATAGATAATATTAGAGTAGAACAATCCAAGGCCCATTTTTTATTTTTATTCAGTTTTTCATTTTTTATAAGATACAAATCAGATGCCAGGTTTTGAAAAATCTTTTCAGTAACTTTTTATCCTCTACAGCATGAATATGTGCTTTTTATTATGTCCAGCTCCCCAGTCCACCTGGAGGATTACTGCATTGGATTGTGCTCCATCTTCAAGAGTACATTATGGAGAAGTTATTAATATGTAAAACTGTACACTCATTGGATTGCAGAAAAACCTCTTTATTAAGAGCAATATAATTGTTAAGAGGAAACAGAAATTAACATCACAGGCATCATAACTTTTGAAGAAAGTAATAAAAAGACCCACTGTGTTTAGAATTTTTGCTCAAGGAAGCAAATGACAAACTGAAAGATGCATTGAGGAATTTGTAATGGACTGAGTTCATAATTTTTGTTGCCAAAACGCAACAATATTTTTCTCAGTTATTTTAGCCAATATCGATAAACTGCCATTCAAATTAGAAATCTGATTATCGCAACATTTCATGACAACGAAGCACGATTTATGCTGCTGACTAAAATCATATTGTGCATTTGAAAGCTGCAGAAAAACTACAGCTTGTTTTGCAAACAGCCAGCCAAAGACGTTCTCATAACTTTGCATCACTACATCAACACAGACATGTTTCAAAAGGGGGCTCAGTGAACTGCTTCTTAGTGCGAAGATGGAGCAGACGAAGCTAGTTAGTTCATGAAGGTGTGTAAAGTGCTTGATAAGAGTTGATTGTAAAAATTATAATATTTGCTGCTTTCTTTTCTCTATAGTCTGTTCATACTTTGCTTTATCTGGTTTACTGACGGATGATTCAGCTTGATCCTCACCTATTTGTGTGTTTTTTGTTTAACTTTTTGTTTTGTTTGTTTTTTTTTGTTGTCGACTCTAGTCTGTCTTCAGGACATCTAAATATGTGCCTCTTGTCTTTCCTTCTGTCATTGTGTGTATGTTGCTGGGTGTTCATGTGTATTGTGTTTGTCTGTTTTATTGTAAAAAAAAAATGTAAATAAAATAGAAATAATAAAGTTAGACATGTGTCTGTAGTTTGCTGAGCTGTCTGAATCAAGGCTATACTTTTTATTAACTGAGTTTAATTCCAGCTAGTATGAATGATATATGAGCCTGTTGAATAAGACAGATCGAGCTTGACTAATGGCTAACTATGGGTACGACTTCTTAAAGCAGTCTAGTTAGAACGGGATCAAGGACATATAGGGGCAGCTGTGGCTCAGTGGTAGAGTTGGTCGTCTCTCCATCGTTCTCTCCTTCGATCCCCAGCTCCTGCTGGCACATGTCCGATGTATCCTTGGGCAAGACACTAAACCCGAAGTTGCTCCTGCTGCTTCATTTGCAGCATATAGTAAATGTGAATGAATGGGATTAGCTAATAAAGATGGCCACTTGTCATATCAGCCTCTACCATCAGTGTGTGAATGTGTAGGTGTGACCTGCGGTCTAAAAGTGCTTTGAGTAGTCAGAAGACTAGAAAAGCTCTATACTGTACAAGCTCAAGTCCATTTACCATTTGGCATATTCATCCTCTATCTTTTTCAGGTTTTATGACTGTCTGAGTAACTGCAATGACTCAGAATACATCTGGACTGTGCCAAGAGTCCCTGTCCAACTTGTCTTCACAATGTGGCCACAACATGACCGGCTGGAACCAGAGCATGGATAAGATGTACACATACTTCTACCTGATTCTTTTCATCCCGGGTCTGCTGCTTAACACCACCGCCCTCTGGGTCCTCTGCAGACACATTAGGTACATGCATACAAACACAAACGGTTAACGTCTACAACACACGCTGGTCACAGCTAACTCCTGTGCATGTTGCTCCACAGTAAGAAGACCAAGGCAGTGATCTTCATGATAAATCTGGCATTCGCAGACCTGGCTCATATTCTCTCCCTGCCTCTCAGGATTTATTATTACTTCACACACGTTTGGCCCTTTGGACGAGGCATGTGCTTGTTCTGCTTCTACCTGAAATACCTCAACATGTATGCAGCTATAGTGTTCCTGGTAAGCAGGCAGTGGAGTGTCAAGATGTCAAATGATGAGAAGTTATTTTGAATTTTATTTGAATCTTAGAGCTCAAAAATATATTTACTTCCTGTGGCTCTCGAGCAGACGAATGATTTGCATGTGGCTATTTTTCTTTCTGTTTTTCCAGGTGTGTATCAGTGTGCAGAGATGTATCTTTCTGCTTAACCCGTTTGCTGCTCGCCGGTGGAGACGCCGCTATGACCTTTTGATCAGCATCATAGTGTGGTTGATTGTCAGTTTTGCCTGCTCGCCTTTCATTCTGATGCGGAGCAGCAACAGCACATCCAGTCCCAACTCTACCACAGAGGGCTGCTTCAAGGACTTGCCTATGCGCTGTCTGTCCCTCTCTCTATCTCTCACCATGATGGCTCTTGCTGAGCTCTTTGGTTTCCTGATCCCTTTGGCCTGCATCGCTTACAGCTCCCTCCGCATCGCCCGGTCCCTCAACCAAAGACATTCCCAGGATCAGAAATACTCGACCACACTCTCAGCACGCAGCCGTCTCAGTTCAGTCATCTCCAACTGTCAGGCCGATAAGTGTCATGAAAAGCTGACGCATGGTGAGAAGCGGCGTGCTTTACAGATGGTGCTGAGCTGCTCTGCCCTCTTCTTATTCTGCTTCGCCCCCTACCACATCAACTTCCTCCTCTACCTGATGGTGTCACAGGGCATTGTGTCCCACTGTGCCACGCGGCTAGCTGTGCTTCAATTCCACCCAGTGTCTCTTTGCCTGGCGAGCCTGAGCTGCTGCCTCAACCCCTTGCTGTATTATTTTCTAACAGCTGAGTTCAGATCGCACCTCACCAAGCGAACCTCTTCCTTCACCTCCTCTCTCCTCTCCTCGCCTATCAGCTCCAAGCCACAGCGCCCTGCACAGCAAAGAATGACGAGCATGGAGAGTAGCTGCTCAGACAGGGAGTAGTGGGCAGGTGACGGCCAATTGTCTCCGATGTCTTCTGATTCAAGCGGTACAATGTGATGTCACGTCACAGCTGTGTGAATAAAAACTGACCCGAGGGGGCTTGAGTACAACCTAAAGAAGCTCTGAGAAGACATGTGTTTTGAAAAAATGAATTCTCCAGTCAGGGGCTGAACACTCAATATCTACATGGATATCATCATTCATAGATGCCAAATGTAAATAAGCTACCGCCTGTTGTTTATCTTCAGTAACAATGTAACATATTTGAATAAGCTATGTCATTAATGTCCAACCTGTATGTTGATGCATCTTAATTTTACTGTATATTAATAAAAGTCTGTGCCTTTTGTTTTATCTGGTGTCTTTGTGTCGGTCATTATTATGTACAGCATGTAGTTTCACAGCGAGTGAAAACAGGTGCCAGCTCATTTCTGTGGTACTTCCTCTCACAATGCACAGTGGTAAAGACAGTTAGCTGCAGTTGCAGCAGCTCTGGAAACCCATAACTGCCACACTCTGACAGTTATGGGTTTCTCAACCACCTACTCTTGCATCTGCTTCACTGAAGACAACTCAGAGGCTCCCCCGCCCACTCTGGGAAATACTGCGACATATCTGAGGCCCACAACAATATTCGCATTTCTTATCTCTCGCTATCCAACATGTATTTGATAGTTTTATAGTATGCTGTGTAATGTGTGACAAAAGGAAACCAAAAGCATTTTACAAAAAGGGGGGGGGGGACTTTTTTGTTTCCATTTTTAGTATTGATCACTGGTCCCCCTCTTTAAGAATGTTTTCACCTGTCAATCAACAGAACAAATGTGTTAGTGGCACTTAAATTAATGGCTGATAGAAGTTGTCTACAAGAAGAAGAAAAAAAGTGACTATAATTGCAGAAGTCAAAGTGTCAGGAGTAAACCACACCCCCCACACTCACAGGAAGCCATATGTCTGCCAAAACTCTCAGAAGAATCAAGACACACCGAGAGAAAGACAGAGAACACAGCAAGAAATCAAAAAGCGGACACCCAGCAGATCAGGAAAGAAAGGAATGAGATTATATCAGAAGGATAGAACAAGAGAGAAAGTGAGATAAACAAAAGAAGCATAGTGGGCAGAGACCGTGAAAGAGGGGGAGGAGAAGGGGGGTGGCATGTGAGTTGGCTGATGCTTCACTCTTCTTCTTTTTGGTGAGACACAGAAAGTGTCACAGAAGTTTGACGACAGAGGTGAGATATTAACTGTTAAACTTACCATTTTATTTTGAGAACACAGAGTATTTGTGTGAGAGCCAGTGTTATAGCTGGATGCTTTCTGTGTGGTGTCATGCCTCACGGGGGAGCATGCATGTGTCTCCAGCATGAGGAATGTCTGTTATGTTGAGACTGTTAAAGCCTTTCTGTTGACCACTGTGAGAGTGACTGTGAATTCTTCTTTCTGTGAGTTAACTTTAAAGTGTCTGAGATGGGTTTATGACATTGTTTATGTGTTGGGACACCACAAGAGGAGGGACCTGGGTGCCAGGTACCAACTCTTTTTGGTGCTGATACATAAGGCCAAACATCGTGTCTGAGTGGAAAAAGTGTAGCATGCCAACAACCCACGGAGAGATGAATCACTGGATACAATAATTTGTTTCCATTGGAAGGATTGGAGGACTGAAACTGATGAATCCTGAAGCAGGGAGTAGACCCGAGTAGATCCATATAGGATTATGTTTCTGTTAAATAAATGAAGTCAATATGTAGCTGCAGGACATTACAGAAGGTCCAGCCTTAGATTATCATTTCACATGTATTACTACTGCCAGAATTAAATGATAAAACTTGAATTGGTCGTCCCTTAGTGGCCCTTTAAGATGAAATAGGCAGAAACATACTGCACATGCAAATGTGAGAGAAATGAGTGAATGACACTCAAACAGTCCCATGTGGGTCACAGGTTAGTGATGCTGAAAGCAAGTCCCCCCCCAATAATATGCAAACAGTTTAATCAGGACAGAATTAATTATGGGCAGATATTCTTTTTCTTTTGTGTTTGAACGATGGATAAGTCTTTAAAAAATGGACCCAATCGTGTTTTCTATGAGTTGTAGTGACGTCGAGAGCAGGATATGAAACCCCTGTAGATGAAGTATAGACACTAGTGGTGCTGATGAAGGGAGTATGCAGGATGTGAAGAGGGGTGGACATCTCAAAAACTCAACCCAGACACCGATCGGACGAATTGGAGACGTGGAAGAAAGTTGCTACAACATACGCAGAAATGTCAACCTGACGAAAGCAAAGAGGAGAACAGATTTAAAGTTCGACAGCAGCAGCATGATTGGTCATTGGTCCTGTCATCTGGTTGGAGAGGCATGGAGAAACAGAAAGAGTTACCTAGAGGGATTGACAGAGAGTAATATAAATGAATCATTAAATAATAACCAGATAAAGGAGAGACAGTGTCCCTGCTTGAACTTGCTATGACCTTCTTTTGTTTTGCAGCTAAAGGTACAAGTCACTGTTTTGGATTTGAATTTCACATGAAAAACAAATCACATAGTTACATTATCATTTGTACACTTCTATTAAGTACGGTTGGACTTTGTGTCCCTTATCTCACTCACATCCTCCATGGTGATATTCATGGTAGTTATGTTCTCTTTGTATGTGTTTGTGTCGTTGTGCTCTAGAGTCTGTATGGACCTCTTTTTGCAAATCAAATTGCCCCTCAGGGACAATAAAGATTTTACAATCCGATCGAAAAGAGTCAAAGAAATTTAGACTGATTTGTGCAGTTCCTGTATTTCCTTTCTTTAATTTTCTGTAAATTATCTATAACCCTTAGATTTATTCTGTGACACTTCAGAAGGACCTTAAACAAGAAAACAGTGTATGAGGCACTTAGGTCACCAGTATTAAAATACTCCTTACTTTTATTTGCTGATTGGTGCATGAGTGTTAACAATCTAAGTAATCGTTACTGATATTAATTTGAATAGTTTCTTAAGCAGTCGTTTAACCCGTTACAAAGTGTTTAAAATTCCTGCACTGTTACTTTTATTTATTCTTTTCACTTCTGTCAAAAGGACACCGCAGCAAAGACAGAGTCTTACAGTATATGAATGAATATTCAGTGTTAATTTATATTTAGTCTAGTCAAAGTCAATTCTCATGAACACAAAAATAGCCACATAGCCACATACTCTATTATCGTTAACACATCCTCAAAATGTTCAGAATTCAACCAGAAGTGCATCATAAGGGTTATTTGTGTCACAATGTTTCTCTTACTTCTTGTTTCCTAAAGCTGTGAAGTTCTGAATACTTTTAATCTCTCTGTAACTCGACACTTATGGCAAGAGATTAAAGACATTAACTGTAATTATACTTTACTCTTTCCCAGATGAAGTGTCCTCTTGTTTTTAAAGTGTGAACAAAGTGATGAATGAAATGATCAGTTTGCGCGTCTCATCCTTAAATAGTGTTACAGCACGTTACTGTAACCAACACATTGTCTTTTCTCTGCACCATGATTTAGAGTTAGTGAAGTGAAATCAGATGATAAAACAGACCGAGCTGTATCCAAAATAATTGATCTCGAGGGCTCTTTATGCTGTTTCTGGATGTAAATAGGAAGGACACTATAGCTGAGCCAGCACACACCTACTGATGTTTACAGCAGGAGAAGAATCACACCGACAAGCTGCAACATTTAGCTGCAGACTCTGTTTTATTTTCAATTTAAAGTCAAAATTTAAACTGGATGTACATCACAGCTAAAGGTTGACAAAAACATTTAGAGTCTTTACAAATCACTTTTCTGTTTTGTGCTAGTGAAAATGTTAAAAAGTCTCATCAGACATCATTTACTGTGTTTAGAAACTTTGTATTCAGCACAGAAAACAATTGTTCCTCAAGTGTGAGCACGCTTACAGAGATCAGGTTTACTTAGTCTGACCTGCTAACCACACGCCCGGTCGATCAATAAGCCGTGCAAGTTTCACTTAGGCTTTGCTCTTAGGCGTTTCACATGGGCTTGTTGTAGTCCGCCCTGCAGCTGGATGTGTTACCGACTGTGAGCGGTGCACACTACGTGGGAGACATCAGCATCAGCATCTCTTTGAACTTTTACAGTAAATGGCACCACACGCGCTCCAATCACACCAATAATGTTATGCGTTGTTTAAACACCATATAACAAACTGAAGCCATGGTTAACAGTGAGTGTGTGTGTGTGTGATTCAATGTGATCTTTGTCTGTTTGAGGAAACATCTTTCTCAATACCAGATAGCTATCTGTCCAACATGCAAATGTCATCAGAAGCTTACAGTATCACAAGTTCCTGTTTACTTATACCTGCTTTATTTACCCAGCACGCAGGCAAGAGGCAGGGCATTGAGGGCAATGCTTTTCAGATGACTCTTTATTTTTCTCCTCTACCAGGTTGCAAGGATGCTGCGAATGAAAGCTGTATGAAACATTAACCAGCGCTGGACACCGACTCTAACTTCCCTCAAATGAGCATGAAGTGCTCCTCTCCATAGAGACAGGATGGATGCTCACACACATTCATTACCAGACTCCAAGCGGCTTTCCTGATACAAGCTTCCTGTTGATTTACTGGGCAGCTTGTCTGAACAGTAACTGGTTAACTGGACCTTCACTTAAGATGAACAAAGGCAACAACAGCTGTGAAAGCGAAGAAGATCTCCGCGAGTACCAGCACTATGTGTATGCAGTGGTGTACAGTGTGATCTTGGCCCCGGGCCTGCTGGGTAACGTTCTTGCCATCTGGGTGTTCAGGGTTTATGTCCGAGAAACCAAGAAGGCTGTGGTGTTCATGTTGAACCTGGCTGTGGCCGACCTGCTGCAGGTAAAAAAAAAAAAAACCTTTAATACATTTTAAAATATTTCATATCTGATTGTTTTATTAGGCTTTCATTCATGTGATTTCCAATATTTGAGCAGTATGTTTACACTCATGCATTCTCTAAAAGGACTATGATGTAGTTGTTTAGTAGATGTAAAATGTTATTAGATTTTATGTGGTCATCAATATACGTGATGATAATAATTTACCTTTTGGGCATCCAAAGCAGGTGTATGAATATTTAAAGAATGACCAAAAGCTCATTTATAAATACGTGTTAATAAATATTCAGTATATGAAAGAACATTTTGGTTGAAATTGTCTTTAGGTCCAGACAGAAGTTAATAATTCATGTGCTCTGAAAAAGGAATGAAGAAAATCCGTTATCTGTATCGGTTGTAAGACTGTAAAAACTTTGACCAATGTCTGCCACGAGGTACCAATCTGATGAACCAATCACACCTCCCTGTCTCCCTGCTCGTTCTCTACCCCATGCATGCACGAGCCCACACTCAAAGTGTGACACATTTCAACAAATAATACAAGGGGATAAGGTGATGCCTTGAAAATTGCTTGCACATTGATCATTCAGTTGATCTGATTCCATTCACTAAAGTCTCCATTAAACTACTACATTGATTTATTTACCAGGTTTGTCTCAATGAGATTAAGAACCTCTTTTCCATGGGAGACCTGACCGAGACATTCAGAAGCAAAAACACAAAGTTCCAGACAGAGACACAAAAAGGGAGATGAAGTGCAATTTACAAAAACACCCAAATTTGCATTAAAAGAGAACCTCTATGAGTCAAATCTGGGAGTCAGTAGATCAAGCAGTCGCGCAAAGAACATGGACATCCTATAGAATCTACTCTGCAGGTCTTTCATTTGAGATACACAGACTTTTAAGCAAACCAGATTCTTGAGTCTCAAGTCATTCTGCAACAGATTCCAGGCTGAGGGTGCATGAAAGTCAATGTTATATTTTACATGTAACCAGACAATATAGTTTTCTTATTCTTGCCCGGGAGCATTTAATGTCCGCTTTTGCCATCACCTAAAAGTTAACATAAATGACACTTCATCCCACAGCTAGTAGGTCCCTGATTGTCCTTGCAAATAAGTGTAAAATAAAATGTGCATTTAAACAGCATTTTGCCAAAATGAGCTGTGAAATGTTTACAAATCATCTCATGATATTTTACTGTGTCCCTAATGTAAGCGTTGATGTGACTTTGTGGTCTCCTCAGGTGCTCTCTCTGCCTCTGCGGATCTACTATTACCTGAAGAACACCTGGCCCTTTGGTCATCCTCTCTGCATGATCTGCTTCTATCTGAAGTACGTCAACATGTACGCCTCCGTCTACTTCCTGGTGTGTATCAGTGTTCGTCGCTGTGAGCTGATCATGCGTCCTCTGAGGTTCAACTCATCCAGGCGGAAAGGAGACTGGTGTATCTGTGCCTTCGGCTGGCTGCTAGTCTGCCTTGGCTGCCTGCCCTTTCCTCTGTTGAGAAACCCCAGCGGGGTCCCAATCAATAACTCAAATGACGAGGTCCTCACCTCAGAGGCCACGCCCAGCCTCACCGGGTCTGACCTGGTGTGTTTCTCAGAGTTACCCATGAGGCCTGTCAGTATTCCAGCAGCCTGGGTCCTCCTGATCCTCGCAGAGCTGCTGGGTTTCATCGTCCCTCTCATCCTGGTGTTAGCCTGCACCTGTCTGACAGCTGGCAGCCTTCGAGAGTCAACAGAAGGGGCTATTTCTGACAGAGGGGAGAAGCGGAGGGCGTTACGCATGGTGTTGAGCTGTGCTTTGGTCTTCCTATTGTGCTTCGCTCCTTACCATGTCACTATGCCCCTGGACTTCTTGGCTAAAGCCGACGCCCTGAGCAGCTGCACCCTCAGGAAACTGATCCTTCGATGTCACCCTGTCGCTCTCTGCCTGGCCAGCGTGAACTGTAGCCTGGACCCACTCATGTACTATTTCACGACGGATGAATTCAGGAGGCGACTGAGCAAGCCGGAGATACCAGAGAGCATGACTTTCAGTCGGCGCCTGTCCTGTATGACAGGAGGAGAGGACCAAGAGGAAGACTAGGCCCTCTCTAAACTGTCATGTTGAAGAACAAGTTTAATCTCAACCACTACATCCTGTGATGAAGGCCATGCACTCCTTAAAACAAGGAGAATTAACATGTAAATTAGTAAGTGAAAAAAGGGGTACGATTGTTTTTTTCTATTTATTTTTCAAGAAAAGATGTCTGCTCTTTCTAAATCGGTACGACCTTGACAGGTGAAGACTGAGCTGTTCCAGTTATGAAGGATGAACCTTCAATCAGTGCCAACATCTCTAACAAGCGTCAGGAAATAAAACAACACGACCAGCTGGGTTCAGTCTCAGGATCAGCTCACAGGTGATGATAAAAGAGATGGAAACAGATTCAAAAAGCAGAACGGTTCAGTAGGTAGAGAAATTTAACTTTATTTCATGACAAAAGTGAAATTCATTTCAGTAGCTGGACACAACATTGGATTTAATCACATTTGAGTATTGTTAAAAAAAGCTCAGACAGTAACCCTTTTTTTTTTTAAAACAAGCACACTTCCTGTCTGATTGTCTTTCTGTGCAGGCATCGTCTTGGAAACCACTGAAAATGAGTTATTTGGCAAAAGGCCATTTTTCACACTTCCAAATGTTCTTTTTCAGAGTTTTTTTTTTTTTTATTCAAATCAGGTGTACGGATTTATTGGAGTATTTTTATGCATTAAACTGTTCCTGTGAAAACTGTAAATCCAGTCTTTTAGCTGCAAAACTTGACGCCTCTTGTATTGAGATATTTATTTCAAGTAACCTCGTGTTCATGTTATTGGACAAGAAATTCATCAATATAAAAATTCACAAAATTTGACATAATTTCCCTTTAGCTTATTCACTTCATGTCTGCTCAACTTGTCCTTCAGGTTCTAGTGTCACATATAAAGTCAACTACACAAACACAAACACTGGTCGTATAGAGTGCTGGACTGTTCACCTTCAGGTATGACATCATTAATAAAAGAAACATCACAGTAGGACAGCAGAGAGCCTCTGGGAGCAGCAGGGCACTCTGGGAAACGTCTACTAAAAAATGGAGACTGTGAGCTCTGGGTTAGTTCCCCCCCGTTAATGACACTGACTACCATGTTACACGTGTACTGTAGCTAAACTGTACCGAACATATCCAGGGTGACTTAGTGCTAAATCACAATATAACATACAGCAGATCAGAACAGTAGGCGGACGCACAGACACGTCTGATATCGACGACTTCTCAGTAACTCTAGGATATTCAGTAGTAGGAGTAATAACCCTCGTCTGGAGGTGACTGGATGTTGTATTACAGTTACAATAATAAGATAAGTCAGAAGGAAGCTACAGCAACAAAACAGAAACAGAAATGACAAATAAGACGGATTTTAACTCCTTAGAAAGCAGGCTAACACTGGTTATCAGTACGAGACTAACTAGTGAGTATTTGAGCAAGAGAGCGATGATTTATACAGGTTCAGGAAAGTGAAGCAGAAAGGGGTTTGCTATACGACAACGTAAGGAAAAATTCACTTCATCACTGGGGTTAAAGCAGGGGAGTTAAGAGTTCTATACAAAAGAAACTTTCTGCTAAAAGTTGTTTCCTGCTTCAAGATTACCTCCTACTCTTTAGTCTCTCTCTCTCTCTCTGGTCACTTGCTCTCTCTTATTTGCTTTCTGACCTACGCTTATGCATTCCCATCAAGCCTTGCAGATCCTGGTTTCAGTCACAAACTTGTTTTCAAAGTGGTGGATGGTGAAACATTTGTCTGCAGAGCGCTTATGGATCCCTCCACCTGACAAACACAAAGAGACACACACATGTTAGCTGATTGTTCACATTACGTCTGCAGAGAACCCAGGGTATTACTGCTGTTTTCTCAGACGTGTGTTCTTCTAGAAAAAGATCACAGGGCATGTGAAGTTAACGCTGTGACTGACTTTATTGTTACTGGCTCTCTGATTGGTTCACCGTGTGTGTGAAGTGAATCAGCATTGGTAACATGTTTTTGGTTCGCATCAGTGCTATAGCATTAATGAAGTAGAAGAGAGGTCAGTGAACTGTCATCTGAATAATCCTGAAGTTACATGACTTACTCTTCATGTGGTTCAACTGCCTGGTCACTTATCTTACTAAACTTAACGCTAACAGACTAACTGAAACTTAACTGTATTACAGGTTATCTTAAATGTTTGCATATCAAAAAGGACAGATGTCCCAAATCATGCTTTAGAACAAATGAGATGTGGGCTTGCCTAAAAAAAAACATCTTGTATCAGCATTGACAAGCTGTACAGGACTAATGCTGCATCCATGCATAGCTGAGAGAAGAGGATATCACAACCTGGGAGTGCTGTTAGGAGGTTATCCCCACTGCTAGCCCTGAATCACTGCCCTGTGATGATATGTTTAGGATGTACCTGAACCTTAACCAGGATGAATTCAGTGTACTGTAGTTCTGTTCAGAAATAATTTCATTAAGGCGTCAGTTTTTTTACTGTTCAGTCCATCCAGACCTGGCAGGCTGGAGCGGCGTTGCATCCTGTATGTCTCCTTTCCGTCACACAGCCGGCGGATATAGAAGCCCAGAGGCTTGATATCCTCGATACGCTCCGTCACCACCAGGTCCTCGTGCACCAAGTAGCTGCGGTAAGAGCCAGACTGGGACAAAAACAAAATATATAGTTTGATACAGATTTAACCACTCTTAAAAACTTTCTTGCAGCTCAGTGAACATGACTGCAGTAAAGAGTGAAAACAAAGAGTAGTAGGACATGTTTGTAATTAATGCATCATCCTTAAACTTCTGCTTTTTGTGATACACTGTCACGGTTGATTACGGAATCCACTGACTGCACAACCAACCACTAAACACCAAATGCTAGACATGATGTCACAATGGAGGACTCAGTGAAACATTAAACCAACTAAACTTTCAGTGCACATCTACAGTTCTGTGACAAACTGCTCTCAAACTCTGCCTCGCTGACACGATTCTCCTCTTTCTTTAACTCAAAAAACTAAAACAGGTTAAAAATGATCTAAATAACTAAAATGTGACTTTTTTTGCCATGACTGCATTATGGTTTAAAGATTGGAGGTGACTTTCATTTTGCTTTTCATCTAGTGTCATCTGCAGGTCAAAGCTCAAAGGATCAATATGTTAGATATCTACTGAATTAAATGATAAAATGACCTCATCAGACATTAAGGAAACATGCTATGTTGAAGTGCTGGCTTCTCTGATAACAATGCAGCAGCCAGTATGTCCTCCTTCTAAGTTAAGATCACTGTAGGTCAGTTTTAAGGCACCCCCAAACAGCCTTTTTAACCCTCGTCCCTCAGTTTGCCAGATAAACAGCAAAAAAAGAGAACTGGGGGGGGGGAACAGCTCTCTGTAATGTTTTTAAATTGGCCTGCAGTTCCAACTTTAAACACTAGGTGTCAGCATTACATATTGCTCCTTTAAATAATTCACATCCTTAGTGTTTACTAGCTAAACATATACCACAGTAAATTAAGATGGTGGACATGGTAAACAAACAGCATACAAGCTAACCAGCAGCTAAAAAAGTTAGCATTTACCCTGGGATTATGTTAGCAAGCTGATGTTAGCATTTAGCTCCGAGCACACAGCTGTCCCTGAAAACAGCTAAAACACTGAGTACTCAAGTCTTTCATTATAGAGTTCATTGAGTGCTCTACTAACAACTTTGTTCAGATGTCATTTCTAAAGACAGTGAAAAAAGTATTTGAAGCATACATTGTAAGAGAGATTACCCCGTGTGTTTACAACAGAGATATTAATACCCAGAATGTGATACGCAGCTGGATATTCTGAACTACATATTTCAGACATGGCAGATTTGAACAGGATTACAGCAGGCAGTCACTGGATTTATCATAAATCCCTGGATGTGCACAGGTAACATTTATCTTCGATATCGGTGCTTTGAGTGAGAGTGCTGTGTGTGTGCGTAAAGTTCCCCCTCAATCATCCGATGTGATCCTGAGAACACAAAACGATCGGGACTCACCATCAGCTGTGAGAAGAGGTCAATGAGGTCCTGTGGGGGGAGCACCACTGAGGTGTTCAGAGGAATCACAAAGCAGGTCCTCAGGGTCAGGTCCAGGTACGCTGTCAGCTTCTACTCACACACACACACACACACACACACACACACACACACACACACACACACACACACACACACACACACACACACACAACAATCAGGGAAGTCATTTAAACCGCATTACAAGAAGTGCAGCAGCCTCACAGAACAGTACATGTGGGGTATTCAGGTTGTGAGTGTTACCCTATTGAAGTCATGGAGGATGTAAGCAGGGTCTCCAGGTCTGAAGCGGGGAGGTGGGACGCTGATCACGGCCATGCTGTCAGAGATCTCCACCTCCTCCTCCACCCGGGGCAGGTAGTACGGCCGGTTCTCTCCTCCAGCTCCAGCTGACACATCATTGAACTGCATCGCTCCGTGATACAGCCTCTGCAGACACACAGCAGCAAAAATAAAGACAAAACAAGTCAAGCAGCCGCAGTGGGCCAATGACATCAGCAGCAACTTAGGTAGCATTTCCTGAATGAAGCGTGCATGTAGAGCCTTGCAGTAGACTGATGAGTGGACAGCAGTCAGTTCAGTGTATGCACCTGAGAAGAAGATGTGCTAAATCAAACCAAAGAACGAGCTGGGAGGGGCTGAAAGTGGTTTAATGTTGTGGGCTCTGCTGTGTATTGTGTGTAATTAGAGTGAGAAATGAATTTAGATTAAAAAAAGATGACTCAATTATTCCTCAAAGAGTCCCTGTTGCTTGAACGACAAGTCTGATGATTCATAGATAACTGAAACACAATCGGCCAGGCAGAGAGAATGTTGACTGTTTAATAAAGTTGGATTCTTGTTTAATCATAAACTCTTTAATAAGACACTGCTTCGTTTCACATCGGAGAGAAAGCTCTGTGGGCCAACTTTGAGACCCTCCTGCAGTCAACACAGCTAAAAATGATGAAGTCTGCACTTCCTCTAAAAAAAGGAGAAGTGAGTGAGCGTCAGCATTTTAACATCCCAGCAGTGCAAGAGTGTCTCATCAGCAGTCAGACGACACCTTAATAGATTTTTTCAAAGTCGAGTAACGTTTCCTCCCCCACACACACGTCTTTGGTCAAAGTGAAAGAGTCTTAATAACATCTGAGATGGATTCACTAGGGATAAGAAAAACTGAACTTAAATGTTAGGGGTTCAATGTTAACTGTAATGACAATAGTTGAAAGAAGAGAGCTAATCGGTTTGGTTCGGTATGGTATGGTATGCATTTTCTGGCATTTCCACAGTCAGAAGTTGGGAATGATCCCAAATGACTCTCAAGAAAGAGGCCTTCTCAACATTCATACTGATGCTCCAACCTATTTTATCTGACGCTCTGTAACTACTTCAATGTAAAAACATTAAGCTTGTATGTTAATCTTACTGGATTCAGACTCTGACTGTGTTGTAGAATTAAATCATGTCTGATATATTATTAGATCTTAATAAGCCAAATAAATATACTGCCCATCCTGGAAATGTTTTTTAACAACAAACACGTATACAGACACACAACTACCTTGGGGGTGAAATATCGATAGAGACATGCTCCCCCCACGATGAGCCCACTGAGGATGAAGGCGATGCCCAGCAGGGTGAGCAGACAGCGACCTGTGGAGCCCTCGCTGCCAACATGAGCAGAGGCCAGCTCAGGATCCTGTAAATACACACACACACACACACACACACACACACACACACACACACACACACACACACACACACACACACACACACACACACACACACACACACAATAATCAGTTTATATACGCATTACTGTCAGAAATAGCACAGTGAATCATAATATTTCATATATTGCAGATCAACATAAAGCACTTGAAGATTTGACTCTGTAATCCCAGTGAGGCTTCGGCCTCTGCACAACAGCTGTTCAGAAGATGGGCGGTCCCACTGTGTTCTGCATCATTTGCATTATGGCTCTCCATGCGTTTAGCGAAAAACCTTTCACATCTTCAAAGTCATGCATGCTCAAATAAGGGGAAATGCCAGACGACCATGTAACGTCTACAAGGCTACAGATAAAACCCTGGAGTCAGAGCAGTTTGCTTGCGGCCTGCTACGAGACTAAAAAAACGGACACCGGGCTCACGTCCCGCACTACAGCCCCGTTAACTCACCTTCTCCGCGGCTGGCACTTCTTTGCCCAGCGCCTTCTGCGCCAGAGCCGAGTTAAACGCGATCTTCACCATGATGGAGAGAAAACGTCACCTCTGGTTTTTCTAGTGCAAAAAAAAAAAGATAAGGGGAAGACTGTCGGTGCTGGACGGCAAGTCCCGTTAACTCTCAGCAGCTCCGCGATGTGACGCACTTTGCAACCTCGGCTTTATCTAGCGCTTCCGGTGGCTGGAGGGGATTAAGAGCACATCCGAGAGAAAGAAACTGCAAATGCTGATGATATTTCAAGCTACACGGCGTATGTAAACAAGTGGCGGCTAAGAAAATGTTCTTGACGGTTTCTGCGTGTTAAACAATGACCTCTGAAACCATGCATTGCGTTTTTATTGTCTTCAGTATCTTCTCTGGTTTAATTTTTTATTTCATCTTTTGGCTTTGGCGCCATCTAGCGGTCAAAAGGGGAAACTACCCAGACTTTCTTTAAATACATACCTTTTGGAATCAACTCATGGACTAGACCTTATACCACAAAACCTGAACTGTTTGCACCTTCACTAAAACCTGCTTTATAATGTACAGTACATGACTCGTTCTGCTCCGACTGTGCCATAATTCAATTAAAGTTATATTTTGAGTGCATAAAGTAGCCCATTCATTTCTGTTGAATATTCCACTCTGTAAACACATTTCCTCTTACAGGCTGGGTAGTACCTGCCAGTGTGTTTTCCCACTCTCACTGACACACACAGAACACAGCCTTCACTGCACTGTGTGGAAACACAGGCCAGTGCCAAGCCTATACTGTACGTCTGACACGTATCCTCAGTCCTCTGGTCTGTGGTGGTCCTCTGCTTCCTCTGCTTTCACTCTCCTTACTCAGTTAAGGTTTGAATGTACGAGTAAATAAACACTTACTTCTGCACCAACGCTCTAATTCCATGCACCTCTGTGGCATCTCTCCATCCCCTCTGCACTGCAACTGTACCATATGCATCCCCAAGTCTCGCTAACACAAGCACACACGCACCCTGCACGGCTATGATATTTCCTCTGTTAAACAGATGGATTGGACCGGTAATCACCACTGAAAGGTACATAAACAGAGCAGCTGATTTCTGTACCTAACTCCCCCTCTGTGCACCCACCGAAACTGACTCTCCCTGAATATCCTAAGTGGTCCTGAAGGCTTGTTTACAGGCTCGTCTTACGCTGTGTTTGATCTGAGAGCTTGCCCACACATGCATAGGTGGACCCACACACACACACACACACACACACACACACAAACACACACACGCAGCAAGAGAGAGGGAAAGCCAGCATTAACAGTAAAAGCTGAGATGATAAACAAAAGACTTAGATTTAATCCTGAGAGCTTCTCAGCATCACACACAACAGAGGAAGAGAGAGAAAAAAAAAGCAGATGAGGGAGCCAGGGGGAGACCACACTCTGAGGGGAAAGGGAACATTTGGGGAGAAGTGTGGAGGCAGGTGGGAGTAAATGTGATCCTGAGGGAGAGTACAGTGATGACTGGGAAAACACACACAGAGGGAGTTACCGAGAGAGGCAAAGCAATCTGCAGTGTCTGATGCTTCAGTGAGTTTTCCAAAGAGCTGATTAACGGCAGATTAAACTCGCCGTCCAATTAGTTTACATCCCAGCTTTTTTCAACACGCCTGCCAGGTAGGATTTCTGTGCCTCTCAGAGCGCAAAAAGAGCAAAAACGTACACAAAAGGACACCCATGTTTCTGTGCAGAGGCGCACATAGGGAGCAGGAGTCATAACAGTGGGTGACAGGCATGTATGATGGAACTTTCTCGTGCCAATGTTTCCCTGTGGTCTGCAGCGACAGTCCAGCAAAAGCAATAAAAATACACACACTACATCATGCAAGTGTACACAAACACACGCCTCGCATGCTAAGTCAGCAAACTGTGAAAGTCTGCAGAGGAAGAACTGCCCTCAAAAAGTGTGAGAAAAAAGAAGCTCTCATGCATGACATCATCCACATGCAGGCCAACGAATATGAACAAACGCACACACACACACACACACATACACAAACACACACTTCATAGATTTGTCATCAATTTCAATACCAGACATGTGAAACCACAGAAGACAAATGACTCTGTCCCTTGCACTGGCTCGTAAGCCATACGGTACAGTCACACACACTGACACACACTGCCACACACTGACACACACACACTGTTATGGCAACAGCTGGCCACAGAGTTGAACCAAAAAGTTAGACACTGCTCAGTGCTTCATAACGTCACTGACATGTCTTCATGCAGACCCGCCATAATCACCATGTGCCTCCAGCGGGAGGACATTTAGTGGTCAAAGAGAGAGAGAGAGAGAAAATGTAAGAGACAAACTGGAAGATCCTGTGGTAGAAAGCAGAGAGACCCCCCCCCCCCCACACACACACACACACACACCCCACCACCTCAAATAAATCTGCTTGCATCACACTCTCATGATTCTTGCCCCACCACACACACACTTCTGGCTATCACATATGGCTTTGAGACAAGGGTGACAAATGAGTCTTTCCTGTGAGTATCAGCTTCTAAAGCTACCTTCGCTCTCCCATAGCACTGCCTGTCCGCCTGTCTTCATCTCCTCAGCTTGGCTCACCTCGGGGAAATGTAATAATTTCATGCTGAAGGAGCTTCGAGGCGAGGGGTTGGATACGGGGCATGTGTGCCTGTGTGTGTGTATGTGTGTGTGTGTGTGTGTGTGTGTGTGTGTGTGTGTGCGTGTGTGTGTGTGCGTGTGTGTGTGTGTGTGTGTGTGTGTGTGTGTGTGTGTGTGCATGTGCTGGGGGGGAGATATTGGATGTGCAGTAGGCCTCTAGAATCTTTAGTATTGAATGTAAGTCTTTATTTCTAATCAAAAACTCAAATAAGATAATAGACAACAAACAAAGGTAACAGTGTCCTGAGAGGAGTAACTTATGTATCTCTACCCCTTTCTCACTTTTCTCCTATTAGTTCATATATTATTCCAACAAATGCTTAATTCTAAAATCTATAGTATCACAAACTGCAGCTTCAAAGAAAATACAGTTTAGAGTTACATGACACTTAACAGTCTGATATGTGTTGTTGTTTTTGATGAGTGGATAAGCGTTCATTCTAAGTTGTTATGGAGGTGAGCGAATAAGCAAAACTGACACAGTTTTTAGTAATTTGAGGTAAATTGTGATTTTTTTGTGTGCTCAGTATTTATTATTTAACCACATTTTATTTATAGTGTTATCTCAGATAGATTCATATTTCACAAGTTTTCTGTTTAATCTCCTAAAAGGGTCAAATGCTCGCTAGCTTGGCAATAGATTTTGGTTTTGGTGTGATGGTTATATGGATGTTATGGTGTGAGTAACTAATATTTACATTAGAAATAAGTTGCTGTAACCTTTTGCAATTCAGTGATCTATCCTTATGTTGGTTTGGATTAGGGCTGGGTGTTATGGCCTAAAAATAAAATCTGTTTTTTTTTTCACACCAAACAGGATTGATGATTTGAATCAATTTTTTTCCTTCAATACAAAACTACAAAAACTTTTCAAAATGATTAAAATTGCTTTTATTGTATCCATAAAAGTGAACAAAATAAAACTGAATTTCCCTTCAATTAGTGAAGTAACCTGAATTTCTCTTCAGGGATTAAAGTGCTAACTGTAAACTTGTCTTTAAAAGTGCTCTACGCAGTTTCAGGCTACAGAAAAAGTAAAGATGAGGCAGAGCGACTTCCTGAGATTGTTTACCACATACTCAGGGCCACGCACACACTCTGGAGGAAGTAAACAAGGGGGAAGTTGTGAACAATGGGAGTCCAAAGGGAGCTGCGGACAAAGTTAAAGAGAAAATCTGGAATTTAATTTTGGAAATCCAGATTTTCTACAAACCTGATTTATTGATCAAAGTGAAGCCCTATTTCTGGATAAAAATAATATATTAACATATTAGGTGATTAAATCTGATATAAATAATATTAAAATTGAATATGTTTCAATGATTAAAACCTTGATTAAAATTTTTCTTTTGAATATTTCTTAAACCGTTTTTTCTTCCAAAAGGATTGTGAAACCTAACCTTTTGTGTCAACTCATACTGAGTACCAATACAACTGCTGTGCAATAAAAGCAGGCCTTTACAACTGATCGTGTACACACTAGAGCCTCTCCTCCACACTGAAGCCCACACTGTACTGGTGATTACTTCTGCTATATTCCATCACATACTGAGCTTTAGCTAATTGAAGACCTTTAGCTAGCTTTGACTAACTTCAAAATCTCTGCCTGCACAAATTTTTTTATTTCTCGTCACATGACGTTCTATGAAACAGAACTTTCCAGCGAGAGTTATAATAAATCCATGGTGACAGAACAGTGCGTCCTCCTGTGAAGGCAAAGAAGAAAAGAGAATTTCTACTGAAGTCAGTTTCAAACAAAGAGTGTGAATGGTCTCAGGCTAATAAACGATGGTGTTGGATAAATGCATAGACTGACACACTTCATGCATCGGAACAAACACTTTGAAACACACTGCACTCTTAACAATTTGTGAGACTTGTTTGAGGCGTGTATTGAGGCTAAAATAATACAAGTGAAGGAGAGGACACAAGGTATGATTGGAGGAAAGGAAAAAGAGGGGTCACACATGAACGTAAGAGAGGGCAAATCAAGGTAGACCCCCTGGCACAGGTAGAAAAGGGAAAAGTGGAAAAATCAAATAGGATTAGAAAATGGATGAAAAGAGAAAAGAGAAGAATAGAGGGATGGAAATGGACGCATGTCTGTTACTGAGGGTTCACCTCTGGGGAAATGACCTCATCATCATCATGAGACTGATCCAGACAGCTACAAGACTTTCTGACCATGTTGACTTTGTGTTGGTACTGACACACACACACACACACACACACATACACACACACACGCACACACGCACGCGCGCACACACGCGCACGCACACACACACACACACACACACACACACACACATACACATTTTACGCACCCTCTTCTGAATCGTGGCCATCATCGTAGCCTGGTCCAATCACTTCCAGATTCGGTGACGTCACCTCTGTCAGAAGAGAGCAGAACACACACACACACACACACACACACACACACACACACACACACACACATACAGCACCTTTCTGTTATATGGTACAACCAAACAGAGGTCATTTCACAGATTTTTATTGAAGCTTCTTCCATAGAACTGACAGACTGATTCTCTTATGGCTTCAGTCCCACCTGGACGCTCATCACTATGGTCAGGTTTAAGTCTGCAGGAGCTTAGGAAAGGGCCATTTAAAGGCCGCTGTCCCAGGCTGGGAAGATACAGAAAACCAACACTTACTTTCCTTCAGTAAC